ACTTTGCTTCTCATTTATTTGCCTCACGCTAAATATAGTGCTCATCATATCATAGGCTTTAAAAAACCAGTTGTGTTTCAGCAGGTTACACATGGCGCTATCCAGTTTACAGCATACGAGGAACTTCGGAAGATGGTTGTCAATTATAGGACCAAGGAAAATGGACAAAATTCGAATGTAGCGGAAAATTTACTGGTAAGTTTTATAAAGTGTATACCATTTTGTTCTCAAAAAAATCGTGTGCAAACCACATGCAAGAACTGTATGCCTTCTTAGACTCTTTATTGGTTGGTTGGTTGGTCGATTTTTTTCATATGCTCATTACGGTACTTAATCCCAGAGTTTCTTGTGGGCAATTCTGCTTCTACAAATCCCTAATGGACTTTCCAGTTTGTTTTGTACCATGCTTCTATGCACTAATGTGCAGTGTTCTAAAAGTCGCTAGGCGCCCGCTAGGCGCTCGACCAGTGCCTAGCGCCTAGAGCGCCTAGTCGGGGCCTAGGCGGCGCCTAGTCGGGGTCCAGAAATCAATAGTAAATACTTTATTTTTTATTTATTTTAACTACCTACAAAATAAAATTATCTCAACATATAATAAATTCACACACCAAAGTCCAAATAATAATATTAATATATATTAAAGAAAACATGAGAACAAAATAATGTAATTAGTATTTAAAAAAATAAAAAAAATTAAAAAAAAATTGAAAAATTGCCGTCGAGCCTGCCTAGGAGGGCCTAAGTCCGCCTACGCCCGCCTAGACGCCGCCTAACCGCCTGGCCGCCGAGCCCGCCAAGGCAGCCTAGGAGCGCCTAGGGCCGCCTAGGCGCCGCCTAGCCGCCTGGCCGATTTTTTTTGCCGATTTGTACAAATCGGAGGCGCCCGGACACCGCCTAGCGCCTAGGCACCGCCTAGGCGGCCGCCTAGGCCGATTTTTAGAACAGTGCTAATGTGTATGTATATAAAATAACTCAATTCATACTCAAAATCTAACGCAACTTTAACCCAACTCCACTATACTCAATATTATTATTAAAAGTAAATAATATCAACCAATCATTCTTACACATCACATAACTATAATTCACTATTCATCCACTCACATAATCTTAACTAACCATCATTTCACATCATCTCTCTCCTACTTTTACATCAAATCAACTTTAATTATTTTATTTTAAATAATATTTTAATATAAATTCAAAATCCCACTAACTAACCATACCATATTTTTCAAAATTAACCATAGTTAACCAAAAAAACTTGTTTTGAGCGGATATTTTTGTATCCAAGCACGCCCTAAAGCACTTCCTTTTGGGCCATCAAGAGCATTCATCTGATATAGTTACGATTATATATCTGCAACTTCAACCTGATATTCTATTTTGAAGGTCCATTTGATTTCTCCAATTGTTGTTTACAGGATTCATTTGATTACGCTGTATTAGGTGCTTCTTCAAAATTTGTTGCCATTCTTTTGACGTACCCTTTTCAGGTAGGCACCTTCTGAAGATTGATAATCTGTACTAACATCTTTCTTTAATGGACTATGCAAGAAATTTGTCTTTAATGTTTGCTGAATGTGTTGGTTGATCTCTACCAGGTTATTCGAGCTAGATTGCAGGTAAAAAAAAGACACGATCTGTACTTCCTATTTTACCATAACTGTCGTTCATACTTGAAAATGAACTCTAATGGGTTCTGTAGATCGTTTGAGTTTCTTTCCTTTATAAATATTAAATACTAACTATGATTATTTTGACTAAAGCAACGTCCGAATATTCAAGGCATTCCGAGATATGTAGACAGCTTGCACGTTCTAAAGGAGACTGCACGGTAAGTATCTTCTCCATACACAAAATAATTTCACAGGTGGAAACATGCAATCACAATATAGCAATTTTGTTAGCGGCACACCCTTAAATATTGATTTGTTAGAACCCGACTTTTCTCCTATTCAGAAAGTGTTTTCTAGAGACGTGAAAATGATCCATGTCGAAAAACTATTCATGATCCATTGTGTATTACAACTTTGAATACCATGTTGCTGTTGATGTTTGTTTTTCACAATATTGATTAACTTTGCCTTTTCTGTTCGGCTCCTTTCACAGGTTTGAGGGCGTACGAGGATTCTATAAGGGTATCACAGCAAATGTGTTGAAAAATGCTCCTGCTGCCTCTATTACATTCATTGTGTATGAGAATGTGTTGAATATGTTGAAACTCGCTAGGAAAAAAGATTCATGATGTAGTTCATCTGGTTGTTTGGTTTCCTTTTTGATTTGGGCTTCTAATATCCTTGTGGTTCATACTCATTTGTTTATTTTTTTATACTTCAATTGGGTAAAGTTTATATGTTTTTGCTAGTGTGATTCAATCTTGTAAAATTTGCCTAGGCAACTAGCTCCTCTATTTCTCCTGTCAATCTGTTTTTTACCATGCTTCTATGCACTGTAATAATAATAATAATAATAATAATAATAATAATAATAATAATAATAATAAAAAATAAAAGTATTTAGTAAATATTATTTTTTGGAGTAAAACATGAAGCAAGATTGTTGGAGACAGTTTTGGAATTTGGTGCAAAATCTGTACCAAAATAGTGCAGGCACCAAAATGGCTCAAACTAGTGATAATTTATGGGTAACTAAAACATGAAAACACAAAAGCTAATATATAGTATGATAGGGCTTTAAACTATGGAGAAGATATCTTGGGCTCTTTGGAACACATACCGGTTCAGCAAACAAATAGAGAAACATGCGACGGATGAAATGCTCGATTTCGTATAAAAAAATAGAAATGAAAAACTTAAAACGAGAATATGTAGCTAGAGCTCGAAGGCACCAACCAACATAACAGATCAAAACCCTGAGGAAGAGTATATCACATGAGTGCCTAGTTTCAGTCTTAAGCAAGAATAGATCAACCAATTTTCTCCACATTTTATCTTCAGTGGCTTTAAGCTCTCTGCTGAACAAACTCTTCATCTTCACGTCGGTTAAGTAAACTCCATAAGCAACACAAACCTAAATTGTCACCAGCACATTCTCCAGCACCTAAACTAGGCACACAACATTGTCAGAATACAAACTTAGGACATATCAGCCCTCACAAATGCACTACACAAAAGGTTGTTCTAGTTTCAACTGCCAAGTGCAAATGTGCATTCCATAGCTAATATCACCTCAAGCACAATACAAATCGATAAACAGAACAGCCAAGAGAAATCAACTTCAAAGATCGTCAACAAATAGAAATATACCATTATAAATGCACGATGCTGTTTGGTTGTTTTTTTCTTCCTCCTCGTCACACTCATCTGTTTTACCGAAAATAACGGCCAATATATCGGACATACCAAAATTTAAAAATTCAATTTAATTTTTTTATTAACTTTTTTGCAAGTTCTATTCTACCCTTAACCATGTTAGTTTATATTCCTTAAAATAGATTTTAATCAATTTGGGTATTAATTAAAATTGTGTTTTACATTATTTATATTATAATATTAAAGTTCATTAATAATTTAAAGGCTTAATTGCACCTAAAATCCTCACATTTTGTGTAATTACAAATAAAACTCAACATTTTCATCTTTGCAAATAAATACCAAACTTTTATTATGTGTTGCAAATTTGTCTCAAAACCATTTTTCGGTCAATTCTTGTTGACGTGTCCGATAAAAAATCTTACGTGGTACTTATGAGACTTGTGTGGCATCAATCTTTGAAACTCTTCACAATATTTTTGCCAAATTATGTGCCAACAAATTAACCAAAATTAAAGTATAGTACCAATTGAAAGAATAGAATTTTATCTTTTTTTGCTCCATAATCTTCATAAAAATCGAGTTCTTTTCCCTCAATTGAAAAAAAATAAAAAAAATTGCAGCGACTCTTCTCCATGGTGCGATTCTTCACCATCAAAAATCGAGTTCACCCCGAACATTCCGAATACATTTACGAGCTCACCCCAAAATTCAAAAAAATTGGACAGAGTGAGTGATTTTTGAGTGTTTTTAGGCGATTTTAGTGTTCTGATCGAACACGTCACCAAAAGTGGCCGGAAAATAGTTTTGAGACAAATTTGCAACACATAATAAAGATTTAGTATTTAGTTGCAAAGATAAAAAATTTGAGTTTTATTTCCAATTACACAAAATGTGATGATTTTATGTGCAATGAAGCCTAATTTAAAACCGGTTAAGCGGATTGAACCTATTGAAACAAAACAAAATAGAGAAGAAGGAAACTGAAGAAAATCCGAATGCTCCATCTGCGAAAAGCTTTATCTGATAATCTGTTCAACCCCAACTATTGCCGCAACCTCTTCTGTCTCTACCTCCGGACAAAGTCCGGCGATGGCTCCGGCGGCTTTTGCTGGAAAACCAACAGAGAAGAAGAAGAAGAAGAAGGGCAAATACGTCTTTTTAAAAGCAGAGGGCAGCACCTCCTGACCAACCCGCGAGTGCTGGACGCCATCATTCGGGCTTCGGGCGTGAAGCCCGATGATACTGTTCTGGAAATCGGACCCGGCACCGGGAATCTCACTCTCAAGCTCCTTGAGGCCGCCAAGAAAGTTGTGGCCGTCGAGATCGACAGTCGTATGGTTGAGGTTCTGCGTAAACGGGCCGCTGCCGCTGGGAGAGGGTTTGATGACCGTCTCGACGTGAGTGTTTTTTGATGTTGTTGGTGCATTTAAGGTGTTTGGTGAAATGTCTGTATGAATATTAGTCCCAAGTTGCAGCCAGTTAGAAAATTTGGATATTGGGCCAACTTAGTCTTCTTAAATACAACTCGTACCATGCTTGATTTTTGCACGAGTCGAACACAATTTAGAGCTATTTACTCTGTTCATCAATCAATATCTGCGATTTGCATACTATACAGCTTCCTAATTCTTTTTTTTTAATAGCTTACATGATTACAATAAATAGTCTAAAAGTGGAAATTATGGTGTTTTCCGTGAAAGTAAAATGATCTTTTGGTAACATTCTGTAAATCAATTAAGGTTCTGTGGTCGACTGTTTTGCAGATTATTATTGGTGATGCATTGAGGACCGAGTTCCCAAAATTCAATCTTGTCGTGGCAAACATTCCTTACGGCATATCATCCCCATTGTTGGCTAAATTGGTTTATGGTGCAACCGAAAATCCGTTTAGAAGTGCAACATTATTGCTTCAGAAAGAGTTCGCGAGAAGGCTTTTGGCAAAACCAGGTGACTCTGAGTTCAATAGACTGGCCGTGAATGTGAATCTGGTTGCTAACGTTGAATTTGTAATGGATGTAAGCAAGAGGGACTTTGTACCGTGCCCGAGAGTTGATTCCTCGGTGGTGAAAATCTACCCTAAAAGTGAAATCCCAAATGTCGACCTAGACGAGTGGTGGGCTTTCACAAGGACTTGTTTTTGCAAGAAAAACAAGACTTTAGGCGCGACGTTCAAACAAAAGAGAAAATTGATGGAGTTAATGAAATTGTCTAAATTTGATTTGCTTTCCGAAGATGGTAATTCAGAAGGTCGTGAATATGATAGCAATGGTGATGGAGATGAAGAAGGATTCGGGTCGTGTTTGGGGTCCGATAATGGGGTTGGCATTCTCAGGAGGAAAATCGTGAGCGTTTTGGAATCGGGTGAGTTCTTGGATAAGAGGCCGTCCAAACTGTCAAACGATGATCTTTTGTGTTTGTTATTTCTGTTTAATGAAGCTGGTATCTATTTTAGTGATCAAGAAAAGCCAAAGGGTGGTGTTTGTGCTGCTGCTTGTGGGGATCTGATGTAACACAGTAACTAATGATTTTATTTTTTATTTATTTTTTACCTTATAAAAATATCAACTGCAATTGAGTTGGTGTACTAGGAAGCATTTTAGTCGTATGGTTTTGTATCTTATCCATTTTCTTGTTCTAATCTAATGTTACAGAATGAATTTTGAAAAATTATGAGTTTTAGTATAAAATTTGAGATTGGCTTGGATGAATAGTCTATGAAATAGTGACATGCATTATTATTATTATTATTATTATTATTATTATTATTATTATTATTTTTGTCCATTGCAAATGGAGCTGGAAGAGTCATTGTTGACAATTCTCCTGGCATAGTGCTAATAATGGACTAGATCAAAATGACTCAATTAACTTCTAGTGCTTCTTCTATTAGTGAAGTTTCTAGAAAAAAAAAATATATCAAACGGCGCAATGCATCTTGGGTCGCTACGGAAACAGCCTCCTTGTATAATTACAAGGGTAAGGTCTGCGTACAACTGACCCCCCAGATCCCAACCTATTGGGAATATACTGGATATGTTGTTGTTGTATTATTATTATTATTTTGTTAATAATATTGGAAATATAAAAGAAAATGTTACCATCGTGTATTACAAATTACAACAATTCATTATTTATGTTATTCCCTCCGATAGCAGGTCGGCTATGACTTATCTGGCTATGACATCCACGGACCTCATTTTGACTGTTGGTATATGAACCTACTCTTGTTATCGCTGGGTTGAATATAAGGTTGTGCAAAATCCGACCAATAAAAAAGAAGAAGAAGAAGAAAGAAAAGAATTGGTCGAAATTAAAACTTCGGTTTGGAGCACACAACTCGATTTAATCAATTATTTATTAAAAACCTTAAATACTTTGACACTGAAACTTAAGGTCAAGCTCCACAACATAAGGCTGCTCCTCAAGTTCACTGAATATACGCTTGGCACGCAATGAGTATCTAAACCTCATAACAAACACACACACACACACAGAGAGAGAGAGAGAGAGAGAGAGAGAGAGAGAGAGAGAGAGAGAGATGCAATTTTAGAATTCATTCTGACAAGTGATAAGGGAAGGTAAAGAAGAAATCACAATCCAATAGATTGACAAATGCATTTAATTGCCTCAAGAACTATGTTCTAGTCAATCGTAGATAGTAGGAGAATTTACTGAATCAGTTTACTTCATTATGTGTTCTGTACTTATGTTTGATTAGCTTTGACCAAACTTCACCCACAGAAATCATTTTTTGAGCAAGCTAACTGGTTGTTACAAGATACATTATCATTATTCTAAATCTGGAATTGGAGCATTAAAACAGAATCAGCTCCCTCCTTCACATCCACAAACCACATCAAACTTTAAGAGAGAGGAAACTAGCTTTTGATTCTTTTCTTCCTTGCTAACTTGTCTCATAGCATATTTATCTTTTCAGTAAGGCTGCTAATGCAAGGAATACATACTTTTTCTCAATTGATAATCTGCATCCTTTCAAATTGATGAAATTACATTACGCTAAAAAAATAACATAATTAAAAGTATGACATTTCATAACATAAGTATACGTTTTTTGTTAAAAGAATACAAAAGCGGTTAGGCCTATCTCATGCAAGAATTTTTTTGTTATCTTTACATATGCTGGTGCTCATAAATACACACAAAGCAACATGGTTATTAATAATAAATAAATAAATAAATAAATAAATAAATAAATAAAAAATGGAAACCCAATCCTTGAAAGAGAGGTGATGAAAACAACGTTATAATCTGTTTCAGGTTGTCAAAATAAACACATCCACAATGGTGTACTCAAACAGCAACTTATAATAGTAAAGAACGAGACAAATAATAGTAATACAACAAACAACAATGCAAGCAAATTCAGAAATCCATTATTGGTTTGATGACTTTAGAAAGTTACATTACCCTGATTCAAGAGCAACACTATTACATTAGCTTCTGTTAGAGTTGGCCAGTAACTTAAAAGTTGCCTAGTTTACTGATGCATGTATCCACATATCCAAAAGCTGCAGCATAGACGATTAGCTCAAAAGCTTCTTTGACTGTGCCTTTTCGGCCAAGTAATCTCCACAGGGAACCCACTTCTCCGGAAATTTAAGATCATAGTCTCGCAAGGCCTTAAACGTGGCAGCTGGGTACTTGGCCGTAAGTTTGGCTATTTTCCCATGACACCATGTACAAGCCCACTTCTCCTCATCAATTAGACCTCCGTCAAAGGCGCAAACTGCCATGCAGTTAACCCAGTCAAAGTCAGCCCCTTGCGGCAAAAAGTCTTCATAAGGGCAGCCCCAACTGTTGTGAGTCCTAAAACAAATAGCACAGGAGATATACGGGCAAGCTTGCAGAGGACAATGCTCTAAAGAACACTTGCTGCAAAACTCAGGTTGGCTTTTGTCTTTGGCACTGTCATGGAAACTAAAAAACGGATTCTGTGGAGCGCGTGAGGGTTTCTTTGGAACCTGTGGAATATATGATAGTAAAGAACGAGACAAATAATAGTAATACAACAAATAAAAATGCAAGCAAACTCAGAAATCCATTATTAATAAACATCTAAATATCGCACGGATACTAAAATTTTTGGATTTGTTTGGATTTTTTGGTTTAGTTTGGTTAATTTTGAAAAAGGTGGTATGGTTAGTTGTTAGTGGGTATATTAAAATAATATTTAAAATAAAATAATTAAAGTTGATTTGATGTAAAAGTATGAGAGAGATTTGAAGTGATGGTTAGTTGTGAGTGGATGAATAGTGAATTAAGATTGATGTGATATGTAAGAATGATTGGTTGATATTATTTAATTATATTAATAATATTAATGATAGTTGGGTTGAGTTAAAGTTGAGTTAAAAAAAGTGATTGAGTTAAAAATGTTTGGATTTTTTGGATAAATTTTGTATCCAAGCATCCTCTAAGCACTCAAGGTTGATGACTTTAGAAAGTTACATTACCCTGATTCAAGAGCAACAACACTATTACATTAGCTTCTATTAGAGTTTGCAAGTAACTTAAAAGGTTGCCTTGTTTACTGATGCATGTATCCACATATCCAAAAGCTGCAGCATAGACGATTAGCTCAAAAGCTTCTTTGACTATTCCTTTTCGGCCAAGTAATCTCCACAGGGAACCCACTTCTTTGGATATGTAAGATCATAGTCTCGCAAGGCCTTAAAGCTGGCAGCTCGGTCCACGTCCTTAGGGCATTCATAGGAGCAGTGGTCTGCAAAATTCAAGCAAATGCAACAGTACTTGGCCGTAAGTTTGGCTATTTTCCCATGACACCATGTACAAGCCCACTTCTCCTCATCAAATAGACTTGCGTGATCAAAGGCGCAAACTACCATGCAGTTAACCCGGTTAAAGTCAGCCCCTTGCGGCAAAAAGTTTTCATAAGGGCAGCCCCAATTTTTGTGAGTCCTAAAACAAATAGCACAGGAGATATAAGGGCAAGCTTGCCGAGGAAGATGCTCTAAAGAACACTTGCTGCAAAACTCAGGTTGGCTTTCGTCTATGGCACCGTCATGGATGCTAAAAAATGATTTGTCTGGAACGTATGAGGGTATCAATGAGGGTACCACTTCACTTGGAACATGTGGAACATATGAGGGTACTACTTTGCTCAAATAAATGTCAGAGAAGATAAAAGGGCAAGAGTCCCGAGGAAGATGCTCTAAAGAACACTTGCTGCAAACCTCAGGTTGGCTTTTGTCTTCGGCACTGTCATGGAAACTAAAAAATGGATAGTGTGGAGCGTATGAGGGTTTGAATGAGGGTACAACTTCACTTGGAAACTGTGGAATATATGAGGGTACTAGTTTGCTCTCCACCTCGTTGTATCCTGTTTAGTTAAATAATTAGAATAATAAAACAGTACATCCTCAAACAATAATGACCTTCATAATCAATTCTAGGCAGTAGGATATCAATCACCATCACCATTGGATCACTTAGATTGCCATATAGTATGTTAAGAAAATTCTAGAAACAAATCAGACAGAAGAGTGACTTGATTATTACAACCTAATTGCACAAATTCGAAATAAGCAGCAGAGAGTAGAGAAAGCAATATTGGAACTATTAGTTAACCGGAACAACGACCACTGTCAGCAACCAAAATCAACAAGATCAATTCCAGATCTTTGTTGGTTAGACGTGACATGAAACTGAAGGGAATCGTAATAATGAGATCGTATGGGGCATATGTACCACAAACAACCAAATTAAAACTGAATCATCATCTGAGAAAGAGAAACAAACTGGATCCTAAACAATAAATTTCATATCAAAGAAGAATTTGAAGGGAAATTCCATACCGGTAGAAGCGGCTTTGGTTGATGACAGAGTTTTAAGGGAGATGGAACTGCGTGATTTCCTCCTCGTACCTGATATATTCTCAATTAGCAACAACATTATAAATCAAGTCGTTTCAGACCACAGGAAACTGAAAGGAAGAGATTTCATACCCATAGAAAAGGTGCCGACACTCTCACGGAAGCTTGCTAGGTTTTTCAGAGACTTAGATCTACCCAATTTCGTTATTCCTGACAAAAAAAAAAATCTCGGATTAACAACAATAACATTCAGATCTGTGGGAGAAAAAATAAAACCCTAGAGAGAGAGAGAACCTCGTTCAAAATCTGAGATATTTAAACGAGAGTTCATATTCATACCGGTGGTGGGAGGGCGGCCGAGATTTTCAAAGGATGTCGCAAGGTTTTGCACATCTTCCACCTCCGTACAAGACATCTCTGTGGCTGGGTTATGCAATTCTGAGAATTTCTGAGGTTATTTGTCTCATACATAATTTTATATCACAAATATAATACATCTATACTTATATAAAGAGCCATTCCATTTACTAGAATTAGTAGTATATATCTATACTTATATAAAGAGTCATTCCATTTACTAGAATTAGTAGGAAGAAAAGTCAAAGATAATTAATGCATTCTATTTTCATCAAGTAATTTTTATTTAATTATTTTTTCCTATATAGATATTAATTTACGTAAATCAATACATCTAATATTTATAGTTTGTGTAGATTTAAAATTCATTCCTATCTTTGTATAAAAACTCTTATCTAATTGTATGAAAAATCTTCTGATTTGTTCCTCTACATATAATGTGATTTCCGTATACCAAAATTTTTTCTTAAAAATCTTAACAGATGTTGAATATTACTAGAATGTAGCGACATGCATGGTAATTAAAATTGTGCATTAAATAATGTTTATAAATTAAAATAAGAATTAATATGCAAAACAATTTACATATATTAATTTTTTGAAAATGTTATATAAAATTTAAATTGTTCTTAAAATCCTATTCCTAGAATGAATATTACTCCTTCTGATCTTAGGGTTCCATTTAAGTTCCAGCGGCGGCAATTTCCACTTATGGTTTCGTATGCCATGACCATAAACAAGAGTCAGGAACAGTCTTTATCGCACGTTGGTTTTTTTTTCTAAAGAAACATGTCTTTAGTCATGACCAATTATATGTTGTTGTTTCGCGTATAACTAATAGAAGAGGGTGGAAGAGATTAGTTTGTGAGAATGAAGAGTTGTCCAATAATCAAACTTATAATGTTGTGTACAAGAAGGTTTTTAATAATAAATGATTGTTTATTTGTCCAATACTATCTTATTGTATAATTTTCCTATGTATTATAAAATTTTTATTTAATATTGCATCTTATAATATAATATTCCCCAAATAAATATATCCCGTGCCTCGCACTGGTCACGTACTATATATATCCCGTACATTTTTCTTTATTCATGTATATAAGAATTATAAGTCTGGATAAATAGCCTTAAACTCGTATACCCCGTGCATCGCACGGGCTCTACACTAGTAATTTTATATCACAAATATATAATCTACCTTGGTCTCTGTTTCTTACCCCTGTTTATCGTGTTTTAATTATCATTTTAAGGCCCACAATCCTTCCTATTCTATCCAAAAACCGAATCCTAAAAATTCCTAATTAATAAAAATAAAATTGAATTTTTTAGTTTCTTAAAATTAGGGTTGAGCATGGGACTCAGGAGAATTTCGAACCATTCCAAAGATCGAACCGAAATCACTCCGAACCAAAAAATAATCGTTGACCGTTTCATAAACAAAAAAATAATTGGTACGGTTCTAGAGATTTCATAAAGTGAAAATAGCTATTTTCACATTGTTTTGAAGTCCTGCTAAGTTTTTCACACCGCTCAATAGAAAACTAAATTTTTCACCCCCCGAAAGTACGAAGACATATGCGATGAACTATACGATAGATAGAAGACCGGTATGAGCATGGACGAAAAAATTATGAGTTAAAGTATACGACTTTCTGCGACGAATATGCGAAGATTCGATGTACGATTCGGTCAATCGTGGTTCGTCGCCTATTAAATAATTATTCTTGTTAGGCGAATGAATCTGCGACTATTAGTCGAAAAAATTATTACGCGACATACAATCGTCGCATATTATTCACATGGTTGGTGCATAATAAGTTTTTTTCGTAGAATATTTTTAGACTTTTGGGAGGCTCTGGCCCACCGCTGGTTTCCGGAGGTCCCTCTACCCAAAGATAAGGACTTTATGCCAACTTTTCCGCCTAAGCGTTGTGAGCGCCATTTTTAGGCTGATAATTTTACGTGTTTCCCTTTCTTAAACAGATGTGCATGTATTTTGTAACGATGTACAGTGTCTGTCAACGGTCAGTTGGAGTTTTCATTTCATACCAAGACGAGTCCGACACGGACCTAGGCCGTGACGGTTCAGGGACAGTCCAACCCAGCCCGTTGGCCCGCCGGGTTTTGGCCATGTCTATGTTCATGGCTAGCATATTGGATAATAATATATCTATTACTATATAATACGGAGAAGAAAAAATGTTTGAAAAAATATTTCAAATTCCCGCTTAAAAAACTGTTTTTCCCCCTTAAATTTAATTTGAATTTTTTTCATCCACATATTTGAATTGTTTTTATTCCATGCATGCACCGTTTTTTAATTAATGTACAAAATCTTGGTTGTCAAAATTTAAGGAATAATTATAAGAATTCGAATTGTTAGGATGATTTTCGGTAAAACCATAGAAGATTTTTTTTTGGATAAGTGCATATAAGATTTGTTTAAGATCATATATTTAAATATAATATCTATATATACAAAAAAAGATTACTGTTTACCAAAAATAACTGCAAAAAAATATGGAAACATTATTTTCTTACTAAATTCTTCCGCGTAAATTCCTTTGCAAGGCATCCATTTGTAATGCAGAAATTGCGTTCTATGGAAAATAAAATACTCAAATTCAGAATTTTTGCATTTAATTTGTCTTTTCTAATCTATCACCGAATCATATCAAACAATATGTCTTATCCCTAAATTATAGTACTCCAGTCATTTATTTACGTGATTGTAAACAAACATAAATAAAAAAAAAAGCATATACTATTGCAAAATTTTACTTGTCAAATACAACTTTTAATTAAAATTGTTTAATTGCATCCTAATGTTTTTCAGATTAAAACGAGATTTTCAACTAGGGACTTGAATCACCAATTTAAAAATAAAAATATTTTACATATTTATTGTGGTTGTGATTCCTCTAATAAATGATGAGATTGTGATTAATATTGGAACTACAACTTTGGTACATCCGTTCATATAGGAAGGAAAATTTGTATTTTAACAAAATTGGTATTTTTTTAAAAGATCGTGATTAATATTGGAAACACATATACACATATTTTGGCTGCAGTCATCTATTTACTTGATTGTAAATAAAATGAAAATAAAGAAAGAAAATACTATTGTTATTCTTCGATAAATGTCCGGACTAATATTGGAATTAAAATCTTGGTACATCTTTTCATATAGGAAACAAAATTTGCATTATTTTAAAGGATCGTGATTAACGAAAGCACATACCCTCAATATTTTGAATTTAATATATATATATATATATATATATTAATATATAATATGGTTAAGAAAAATTGTTCAAAAAACTCGAAAAAAATTATTTCGTTTCCCCGCTTTTTTAAAGTCATTTCCCTCTTTTATATTTGGTTTTTTACCAAAATCTTTCGGTTGTAATTTTTTGAAAAGTTCGAATTTTTAGACTCTGCCATGCATTTCCAGTTTTTTGTGCCATGCAATTCTTATTTAATGAATATAATATCTACAACATGATTTGATTTCAATTTTTTTCGGTTTAATTTCCCCTTTTTTGCCATGGATTTCCCTTATCTACAACATGATTAGATTTCAAATCTTTTCAGTTCACATTAAAATTCGATTTTAATTCGGGATTCAAAATTTGATTAGATTTCTTTTAAATATGTAAAAAAAAAGAAAGAGAATCCCCTCTCTCTCTCTCTCTATATATATATATATATATACAAATTTGTGATGAGTTGAATTTTAAATTCAATTTAATATTAACAAATGTATATTTTATGTAAATAAAATTTAATAGAAAAACAAAATTAAAAAGATTGTGTGGTAACATTTTTCGAAATAAATAAATTATGGGAAGGTGATTTTGTTAGCAAAAAATTCAAAGAATTTTATTTGGGTTCAAATTTTGAATACGTGTATGATTAGTTATAGATAAATGAATCCAACATATTCTAACTTCCAAAAAATATGGAAACACATTTCCTTATTTAAAAATTCAAATTCAAGAATGTGAGGAGTTGAATTTTAGATTTAATTTGAAATTAACCACTAATGTATATCTTATGTAAATAAAACATAATAAGAAAAAAAAAATTGTGGTAACATTTTTGGAAAATGTGAGGAGTTGACTTTTAGATTCAATTTAAAATTAACCAATGTATATCTTATGTACATAAAATTTAATAAAAACAACAAAAATAGAAAAAAATGTGTGGTAACATTTTGGAAATCTATTACTATTATTACGACTAAGAAAAATTGTTCAAAAAACTCAAAAAAAATTATCTTATTTTCCCGCTTCATATTCCCGCTTTTTTTTTCGTTTTATTACTTTATTCGGTAAAGTTTTTTTATTTTTTTTCATAATCCCGCCTACATTTCAATTGTAATTTATTTGGACGTATATCACAATCCTTTTTTTTTTAATCGATTTGGTAGGAATCGGATATTTCCTTTTTTTTTGGAAGGGAGTTGATATAAATCGGATAACATCAATTTAAATTAATTAATTACGAAATTTCATTTCCATTTTTTTTTTCAAATCCGATTTATATTATATAGATATATTTCACTTTTTTGTAAGCGATTACCTTTTTTTTTGTAAGCGATTGTTTCAATTAAACGTGCACTGCGATCGAGTTGACCGAATTAAACAATTTTGAATAATATTAAATTAATCAATTACTATTAAATTAATTTTATTTAATTTTCACGTCTAAAATTTTCCAAAATACTATTTTTATTTTTGTGGAAAATGGCGGTTGGATGAAAAAGTCAAATTCAAATTAAAAAAAATTGTTATTTTGAAAAAGATATTTTGTAAACCTTAATTCATAAAAATATGGTCAATGATAACTTTAAATACAACGGGTAAATATGGTCAATGATATCATAAATTATATTTTATATTCGATAAGTTCAACTTAATTGATGATTTTGTTTGTTAATATTTGCTTAACTACAAAGTATTTTAAAGTTTATAAAGAATCTCATTTTATGTAGGTTCTTGGTACTTTTTTATTTGTACATATTCATTTTTCATCCCATATCCAAATACAAATTTAAATGCGGATCTTAAATGTATCATGTTTATTAGAAATATATGTATATTTTTTCAAAAAGTATGACGATCATATAATTAATTTTATCATATATCATATGTTGGATGTTATTAGTTTGGTTGGGGACACTCATTATATTCAAATAAATAATATATAATTTTTCATATTTGGTATTTCTTTTTTTATAATAATAAGATGTTAAACATAAATAACTATGTTTAATATAAAGTCTTAGAAAAAGGTTTTAAGTAAAAACCTCTCCGTGCAGCGCACGGGATACACACTAGTATATATATAATAAGAATTATCATTTTTAAAAAATGGCAAATCAAACTCTAGTCAAACTTGGTCAGCATTCATTACATGCTATTAATAGCAACTTCTTTTTTTTTTTAGTGAAAAAATGGATGAGAGATAAATGTTGGCCTTAAGAAGTGGAGAGGTTGTTAATTGTTTAGTTGCACAAGATCATATTATTACTTTCTCATTTTCACAAAACCAAAAAACTTTTTTGTAAAGGGAAATCGTGTACCACTCATCCAACTTTTTTTTTGTTTTGGATAAAAAAAATTATGTTGATTTAATAATAAAAATTTACTTTTTCATTTTCAAAAGATCGCAAAACCTTTTTGTAACATAAAATCGTGTACCATTCATCTAATTTATTTATTTTTTTTGATAAAAAGAAATTATGGTTGATTCAATAATAAAAATTTACATTTTTATTTTAAAAAAATCGATAACTTTTTTAACATCAAATCGGCTAATAAAATTATTTTAAATGGCGGCTATTATTTTTTAATAAAAATAAATTACGGCTTATTTAATAATCAAATTATAAAATAATTAGTTTTTTCTAATTTTTTTTCTACCATTTTAAATCTGGTAGCTATGTTTTGATTGCTCTTATTCAATTGTTTTGTTTGGCAAATATTTTCACAAAAAAATAAAAAACAACTACAAAAATTATGAAATCATCGATTTGAATAATCGAAATATATTAACAGTTTTTTTAAATCTTTTTTTAACCATTAAATCAGACAGTTATGTTTTAATTGCATTGATTCAATTTTTTTTGTTTGGCAATTATTTTGACAAAAAAAAAATAAATAAAACAAAAACAGCTACTCTATATATATATATATATATAATAAAAATTACCATTTTTCAAAAATGGTAAGTCAAACTCTGGTCAAACTTGGTCAGCATTTATTACATGCTATTAATAGCAACTTCTTTATTTCTTCTAATGAAAAAACGGATGAGAGATAAATGTTGGCCTTAAGAAGTGGAGAGGTTGTTAATTGTTTAGTTGCACAAGATCATCTTATTACTTTTTAATTTTCAGAAAATCAAAAAAGTTTTTTATAACAGAAAATCGTGTACCACTCATCCAGCTTTTTTCTTTTTGGATAAAAAAATTATGGTTGATTTAATAATAAAAATTTACTTTTTCATTTTCACAAAATCGAAAAACCTTTATGTAACATAAAGTCGTGTACTACTCATCTAATTTATTTATTTTTTTGGATAAATAAAATTATGGTTGATTTAATAATAAAAATTTACATTTTTATTTTAAAAAAATTGATAACTTTTTTAACATCAAATCGGCTAATAAAATTGTTTTAAATGGTGGCTATTATTTTTTAATAAAAATAAGTTACGGCTTATTTAATAATCAAAATATAAAATAATTAGTGTTTTTTTAATCTTTTTTTCTACCATTAAATCTGGTAGCTATGTTTTGATTGCGCTTATTCAATTGTTTTGTTTGGCAAATATTTTCACAAAAAAATAAAATACAACTACGAAAATTATGAAATCATCGATTTTAATAATCGAAATATATTAACAATTTTTTAAATCTTTTTTCTAACCATTAAATCAGACGGTTATGTTTTGGTTGCATTAATTCAAATTTTTTTTGTTTGGCAATTATTTTCACAAAAAAATAAAATAAAACAAAACAGCTACTCTAATTTGTTTTTTCTTTTTTGGTTAAATCACAGATTCGACATATCTTGCTCTCCAAATCTATATCTATACTAATATAAAAAGGTTGATGGAAAAATACATAAATAGTAACTTTGATTTTTTAATTAAATGTTTGATCTACTATCATAAGAAAGGTTGTAAAATGCATGAGATAAGGAAAAAAAGGAGCAAATCAATTTCATATACTGTTTTTAGGAAAAAAAACGGGTGCATGTCCTAAAAATAGATGTTACATTATCCTTTTTATTTTTCTTAACCACTTTTTCAATGATTTGGTGAATAAATTTCAAATTAATTTTCTTGGTAAAATTATCGGTGCATCTTTTCCAATAGTTTGTTGAACGATCTCATTTCCCACACAATTTTGGCAAAATCCGATTCTCACTATACTTTCAAAATAATATACTTATCTATTATATATAAAACTTGATTTGCAAAATGAGATTAGATTTTTTGTGAAAATGCGTGAATATACTATGATAATCTGTATTTTTGGTAACATTCTATTCGTGTTTTCGTTCAAAAAACATTTTACAAAATTTGCAATTTAGGAGCAAATATTTTATTTCGAACCATTCATAACATATTTTTCATGACATTCAACTTGGGCAAATCAAATATTTAATTTTGAGTAAGAAAAATTTCAATTCAAGTAATGCATCAATACAGTCTAAACTGAAAATGTACAATAATATCAAAAGTAATTTGATATGTAAACGCATCAATACAACCAAAATATAGAAAATTTGATCTTTATTTTACATGGCAATATATCATTTCAATATTCACCATAAGTTAATGCGAATATGATAAAATATTAGTCCTTTATGTTTTGCAAAAAAATATTTCAATTTCGTCTCTTATGTATGAAAATGACCTTTTTATAAACTTTTTGCAAACATACGAGACAAATAAAAAACGCAATGCGAAGTGGACGAAAAAGTGAAGGTAGTGAAATATATAAAACTAAAATTGCATTTTACTCAAAATATAAAATATTATCAAATAACTTATATATTATCTAATGAGAAATTTTAATTTATAAATATTAACAAATATTTCTTACTAGACATTGCCAAGGGTCGAACCGGCCCGGATATAACGGTTTTTGAACTGGAACCTTAGCCTTTAAGGGCCGGTTTAGGGTCGATTTTTTTTTGCATTTTTTACTCGCCGGGCCGGGCCGGTCCTAGGTCAAAAGACAGGTCATGGTTGTTTTTTTATTTTTTTTTTCAATCGACGATTCAATGAACTGTCGGGTCGGGCCGGTTCCTTTGAAGTTCAAATGAACCGGCCTGACCCTTAGGTATAGCCGGGCCGGTTTCGGGCCCAACATTTGAGGCCCGCCGGTCCGGGTCGTGAACCGGACCGTCCTTTGGACATGTCTATTTTTTTACTCGTGCATCGCACGGGATTCATACTAGTGGTGAATAAACACCATAATAGGTTTGATTTTTTTTTTTTGGTTTAATGTTCTTTATGATGATAGTGGTGTGCATTCGTTTAGGTAAGTATCGAATATTCTTTACTTTATGCTAATCTAGGGTTGCCAGCTGATTTGGATAAACCCCAAGGTGACAATTGTAGTAGTGACAGCTTACAATTAACATAGAAAGGGTCTTCATGTACTAACAGCTGACTATTAATCTCTGTTTTTCACCTTTTTTTTTTAGATGTTTGATTCAGTGGATGGCTTCACACTGCAGGGGCTGAAAGTAACGATCTGTAATATTCAAGATAAAATAAGTTACTTACGCACATGTGCCAAATTTGTCAATGTATGCAGTTCCTGCTTTCTTTCATGACATTCTGTGTCTCTTGTGGGTCTATGAATTTTAAGACTTGTAAAGTTTTCTTGGCCTAAATGAGCTGCTAAGGTATAGGCATACTGTTGTAACTTGTAAGTATAAGATAAGGTACTTTTATCTCCCTGGAGTGTTCTCTGGTATATGAAAGCGGAAAAGCGTAGTTTTGCTAGATACAAGTTTTAACTTTCAACAACAATACCGTCTTTCTGATTTTATACGATTTTAATCTAATTGTGTGTAATCTGTTTAGAGGTTCTTTGATCCTTCTGAATTATCATCTGCTGTGAGTTGCAGAAGTAGTTCTGGAACTTTTAAGAACACTGCATTTGCCTGACGGATTAGAGTGTTTGTTCTCTCACATGGTTCGTAGTATTCAAAGTACTGTTGTACACATGTTATTTTGTGTAGTATGCGTTAATGTTGCTCGTTTGCATCTCAGGCATCTGACAATGCAGGAACTGTCGATTTAAGACACTTTTGCGCTTTATGCATTTGTTGGTGAAAGTGATGCTCTACGGTGGAGCGGAAAGAATGAGGTTATGTATCGTTTTCTGATCGAGGAAGTTTCCTTCCTCCTTTCCAACTTTCATAATATTTGAATGATGAGATTCATTTATGTTTGTATTATGTGTCAATCGTAGGCAAGAATCTTAGAAAGACTACTTACTACCCGCTTGTGTAAATCGATTTGATCATTTTTATTTTTATTTTTTTGTCTGCCAAATCCACAAAGAGAGAATATCTCATTTCATGTTAAAGGTAACAGAATTTTTCTAACACTTGACAGTGAATGAATGTTGATAAGTTCAAAAGGTTGATTGCAAAAAAGATGGAAAAATAAACTCAGTTCCCAATCAGTATGCGAACAATACATGCTTATGGAATACCGCTTCAAGGAAAGCATTAGAGGTCACTAAATATAAATGCTCTAAACACAACTTAACTTGCGCGGCGAAAAAAATTGAATGTAAAAGATCACATTAGCATCCAATTCGCGCTGATTTCCACTTCTTTCATGTTTAACTTGCATAGCTACAGAAGCAACCAAAACCAAACCATATGGTCAACAGAACCTATTTCAAATATGACGATTATGTAAATCAATCATAACAATCCCAGTGAATTTGGAGTTTCATGGGGTTACAAACTTTGACCTCATTGCAGAAACTAGCTTCTGTAAGGTACTAACTACTAAGATCTTTGAGTATTACCAATTCAATCAAGCTTTACTAAGAAGGCTTTTCAGTTGACCATTTTGGACCGAGGCTTGCAGATCTGAGTTAAGAACAATAAAGAAACAAAGACATTTTTGTCAGGTAANNNAAGAAAGAAATTACAAGAGAGATTAAGTATAAAAACTTGGAAAATGAAATAATCTTTACCAACAGAACCACCAATATGCTTGCCATTCACGAATACTTGTGGGACCGTACGCCGACCCACCATGTCCAGAAGAACTTCCTGGATTTTGTACCCATCATCTGCATATAATCAACCGATTGCTTATTTATTAAGAACCTTACGTACTTTGACACTGAAACTTCAAAATTTTACAATTTTACCTCGAAGGTCAAGCTCCACAACATAAGGCTGCTCCTCAAGTTCACTGAATATACGCTTGGCACGCAATGAGTATCTAAAACCTCATAACAAACAAACACACACACACACACACACACAGATGCAATTTTAGGATTCATTCTGACAAGTGATAAGGGAAGGTAAAGAAGAAATCACAATCCAATAGATTGACAAATGCATTTAATTGCCTCATGAACTATGTTTAGTCAATCGTAGATAGTAGGAGAATTTACTGAATCAGTTTCCTTCATTATGTGTTTTGTACTTATGTTTGATTAGCTTTGACCAAACTTCACCCACAGAAATCATTTTTTGAGCAAGCTAACTGGTTGTTACAAGATACATTATCATTATTCTAAATCTGGAATTGGAGCATTAAAACAGAATCAGCTCCCTCCACATACACACACCACATCAAACTTTAAGAGAGAGGAAATTAGCTTTTGATTCTTTTCTTCCTTGCTAAATTGTCTCATAGCATATTTATCTTCTCAGTAAGGCTGCTAATGCAAGGAATACATACTTTTTCTCAATAGATAATCTGCATCCTTTCAAATTGATGAAATGTTACGCTAAAAAAATAACATAACTAAAAGTATGACATTTCATAGCACAAGTATATGTTTTTTGTTAAAAGATACGAAAGCGGTTAGGCCTATCTCATACAAGAATTTTGTGTTATCTTTTCTCCCTGACCATTTCTAAATTACTTATGCTGGTGCTCATAAATACACACAAAGCAACATGGTNAAATCAAAAGAACAAAGAAAAACAGAAGGGAGCTCAAGTATGCACACAGAACAAAATCCCTTATTCCAATAATCAAAAACCACTGGAGCTAAGTACTGATTTAAAAAAGAAGACCTACGGGCAGTACGATTTGGAGAAGATGGCAATTTTGTTGGAGTAAATAACACTTTCCACGAAGGCCGATGGGGAATTTGACGCTAGGGCTTTTTCCGGAGCATTGCCCAGAAAGAACGCACAAGCTACGGCCGCGATCAGAAACGGGCGCCACGGAAAACCCATTTTTGAAGAAGGAGCGGCCAAAACGACGTCGTCCTCTCCGCCCTCCTTTCTGAGCTCGCACTTACAGTCACAGCTCCGGTTCAAGAAAACCCTTCTTGGGACGAAGCGCACACCTGCAACACAAGCAAGAAGAAAACCATTTTACAGGAGGAAGTAACAGGAAAAGGCCCAATCTTGCTGAGTTTTTTGAAGATTTTAAGCGAAAATTTGAGAACGAAATGAAAATTGACCTCTGCAAAAATCGGAGCGCGTAAAGAGGAGAGGTGGTGAAGGGGATTGACGTAGTTGAAGGGCTTTTGAGGACGCATTCATTTTCCCTTTATAAAAGCCAAAAATGGAAAACGGGAAAAGCTCGAAAGTTTGTAGGGATAGGGTCCATAGGGTCAAGTCGGTCCTTTCGTTAAAAAGCAACTTGAAACTTTGCTATTAAAGTATTAATCATTTGCAATTTTTATCTTAAAGAATATTTACAAGGTTTAAAAAAATATATATATTTACAAGAAGTTTTTTAAGAACATAAAATAAATGGTTCAGTTTTATATTAGATCTTATAATAATTTATTGAAATTTTTGAAGACTTTTTGCTATTATAAATTTGAGTACCTAACTTTTAAGAAAAAAACTTTAGTATATCTTTTTTAAGGACATGATTATTATGTAGACATATCTAATTTTGTATTGTTTGTGAATATCAAGAAGATAATTTAAGGAGAATGAAGAAAACAAATGCAAAATCAAAGTTAAGACACGTAACAATTACTTTCTCTGTAAGATGAAATTGCCCCGTAAAATACCATGGTTAATGGCAAAAGCCTTCAAGAACAACGATTTTGGACTTGTATATAGTGGTACTTCAAATATACAAAACTATTGTTTGGAACTTTCAAGACTCAACGAAAAAAATCAAAATGGTACTTCAAATATACAAAACTATTGTTTGGAACTCTCAAGTCTCAATGAAAAAAATCAAAGAACACAATATGTTTTATGAACTTTGAAATGTAATGCAAGAGTTCTTCATTTTTCAACTTATGAATGATTTCAAGTATGTGAGTATTTTTAGATGTAGAAAAACACCTCTAAGAGGTTTAAGCGTCAAAAGACACTGGGACGTAGTCGAACGAGAACAAACGCATCTAGAGGCCAAAAGACACTTTGGTCACCAAGAGTTGCGACCTTTCGCTGGCCGCGGCTAGCTGCGCGTCCGTGCGTCTCGGGCTCGTACGAGCTTGTTCGGACTCGAAATCGAGTTCTATTTTTTTCCTATTCATTCCCAACGAACCCTTCTAGGGTTATAGCATGCAAGTTGCATGATCAGATCTCGTTTGGAATATCCTAACATTCGTCAAAGACAAAATATTTTGCCAATCCAATAATTTGAGTTACTTAAACTCAATTGCTTCAACCTTACATTTCCCACATATAGAACTTAAAATTAATTCTTCATTCACCTTAAAATGGTTTTGAGAATTTTCTAAGTCTTCTACTTATGAAAAATGGAACCGTAAAATGGATACAAAACTAATTTTTTCTTACAATTCTCCACATGAATGAAATTAATGCATGTATGCAATACTTGAGAGTCCTGACGAACCGTCATTGCATCAGGATAGATAACTTGTGACTTTGAATCTTCCTTAGTGAAGTACTATCGGATACACTAGTCGATTAGTAGGGTGATGCTTTGAACTTACTGGTTGTTTGTGTGCACTAAGACAATAGTAGTCACCCAACAACAACTCTAGCAATTTTTTTTTCTCATGTTGTGTCTATTTTAGCCCTGGGCCTTATATCGGTTTAGTAAGTGTTCAATTAAAGCGGCCTATTTGCTTCTCACTTAGAAAGGTGATTGTCCTATAAAGACTATCTTTGTCTTACTCTACCCGTAAGTATAGAAATCATTAAAAGTCATCGACTTAACCTCACCACTTAGAGGATGATTTTAACACTTGACAGTTTTAAAAATGAGTGGAAAATTTCAAGTGTTTCCCTGAGTTGTCAAAACTTAGTTTTCCCATTGAACCAAGGTTTCGGGATTTTCGATTCTCATGATTGGGTTACAGCTAAGACTGTTCATTTATTATGGAGTTTTATTAAGCTCATTCCTCTAACTAGTTTGTACAATTTATCTCATTTCATGCTTTTTATAAACGGACCCGTTAAGTTAATCTTTAACTTCACATAGTCGACTGATATAACCCCCACACGAGATAATTTTTTTAATATAAAGTAAGTTTTTACCATCTATGTCTAGATTTGTCATTGTACAAACTAATTTGTGCCCCTCCAATTGATGATTGATTATCACAAAACATCACGATGAGCACAATTTATTCACTCAACGAATATCGTTTAGAATTTTTCTTAGTTATTTAGCTTCTTTCACGTCTTTGTCCAAATTTATAAACTTAGACTTCATTGTGGATCTATTTTTCCTCTAATTTCAAGCGTCAAATATGAGGTATTATAAACAATAGCATTCTCGACTTCCAACATTGAGAAGTTCTTCAGCATTCGTTTCAGATCCACCTCTTCATTTCCCTGATATGAAACTCTTTTGCTACTTGACTCCATAGCTTTAGTTGCCCTTCAAACCTAGAAAATCAAGGATATCACCCGAGACAATTGGGTTCCCAATCAAGAGAATATGATTCCCAAACGAGAGAATGTTGGGACTTTCAAACAAGAGAATTAGATGTTTGTGTCGCTTTACTTAAATATAAGCTTAAAATCTCAATTAAACCAACACTCAATAATTTTATTTTTTTTCAAAATTAAATTTATTCAATAAATTCAATTAATTTTAAAATTTTTTATATTCAATAATGTCATGAAAAATTAATTTTATTCAATAAATTCAATCAAACCTAAAATACCTAAAATATTTTATATTCAACAAAATATTAGACAAAAATCACTTGTTCGATTGTTTCCATGACTATTTTCTCCAACAATTAACAGACCCAGATAAACTATAACCACTGTGTACTATCACCATTTCCATTTCCCAAACAAAAACATTCGCCTAAAATATTTTTATGAAATTTCTGTAAAATTCCCACAACCGGAGAAACTGAAAATTCACTTGCAGACATTATGAATCATCGGAAAATATTGGTGGCTTGGGGTTAGAATTTAAGAATTCGCGGAGCAGAATTCGAGTGTCGCGATTGCCACTGATGCCACTACTGTAGGGGTAAGAGAGAGTAATTAATTCTGTTACACATGGTCGATTTCTCGTCTGTTAATCGGTGGGCAGCTTCGGATTTCTGCAAATCTCCCATAATTCCCATTGGGTCTTGTTGAACCTTCTTTTTTTCTGCCTATTTGGCAGAGACCTCCTTTATCCCAAAAGTTCCAGCTTAGGAAACTTTAATTTTAATGGCGGTTGCGCGTTTGGATCTCTGGAATTTAAAGCGGGCTGCTTGAATTTTGCATCTTATAGTTATAGAAGTGAAGTGAAATAATCAGTGGATATTAGGGTTTAGCAGAGGCTGATTTTCTGTAGGGTGAACGCATCTACGGTGTCGAATTAATATATTCTTGGAGGTGACCTGTTGTTGAAGAATTCTGATGAGGTAAATTGCTTGGGTTAAAATTTGAGAATAGAGTATAATTCGTGTGTTGTGCCATTTTTGCCACTACTGTAGGGGAAAGGGAGAGTAAATTCTCGTAGATATGGTCGATTTCTCTTCTGTTGATCCGTGAAAAGCTATGGATTTCGACAAATCAACCATAATTCGTATTGGGTCTTGTTAAGAGAACCTTCTTTTTATGCCCATTTGGTGGAGACCTCCTCTATCCCAAAAGAGCCAACTTAGGAAACTGAATTTTACTAGCGATTGCGCCTTTGGTCAGCAGAATTTGAAATGGGTTGCTAGAATTTTGCATCTGTCAGGTATAGAAAGTGAAGTGAAATAATCAATGAATATTTAGGGTTTTGAAGAGGCTGATTTTTGTATGACAAACATTCAACAGTGTCCAATCAGTGGATTCCTGAAGATGACTTTCGTTGAAGAGTTCTGTTGAGGTAATTGCTTGGGTTAGAATTTGAAAATAGAGTATAATTCAAGTGTTTTGTCATTGATGCCACTACTGTAGGTGAAAGAAAGAGGAAATTCTGACAGATATGGTCGATTTCTCGTATGTTAATCAATGGGAAGCCATGGATTTCGACAAATCTCCTGTAATTCGTATTGGGTCTTGTTAAAAGAACTTTCTTCTTTATTTATTTTTTCTTTCTGCCCATTTGGGAGAGACCTCCTTTATCCCAAAAGAGCCATCTTAGAAAACTAAATTTTAATGGCAATTGTTCATTTGGGTCCGCGGAATTTGAAGTGGGGTGCTTGAATTTTGGTATCTGTTAGTTATAGAAAGTGAACCGAAATAATCAATGGATAATTAGGGTTTAGAAGAGGCTGATTTTCTGTATGGCGAACGTCTCTACGCTGTCGAATCAGTGGATTCCTGAAGATGACCTTTTGTTGAAGAATTCTGTCGAGGTAATTGCTTGAGCTTTTTTTTTTCCTTCTCAATTTCTGTTACCTTTCGCTTGCAAATTGAAGTCAACACTGAACTTTGAGACATTTGTATTTATTAGAAAGATGACTGTCCTTATTAAATTATACGTCTTCTTTCTTTGTATATGTTTTCCGATGGGGAGAAATCTTCACCATGAGTTTGATTTCTGCAGTTTCTACATTTTGTTTGTGTATGATTACTTGAGCTGTATAATTTTACAAAATGACCCTCCGTTCGCAAGTTGAAATTATCTTATGCGTGGATAAAAGTTTCCTTCATAAAATATAGCTTTCTCTTGTGACGAAGAAAGTGATGAATGATCCACACACCCAATTCGATAAGACCTCCTGTCAAATTCTAGCTGTCATTATCATGCTTCATTCATTTAACTGTTAATGGCCAACTAACCTTCACTTGTCATTGGTTGCTGATTTTTGCATTGTTTCTTCAAATAGTATGTTTAAGTATCATATTCGTTGTTACATTTCAAATCCTAAAGATGATCATAAAAGGGAATGAAAGTTGTGTAGAAATATAAGAACGCTAGCCCTTTGAATATGACTCGAAAAATTTGCTTTCGGATGCTAATCTGTCTATTCTGGAGAGAAAAAAAAAAAAAAGAAAAACCACTGGCACTTCTACATTGGACCTCTTTCTTATGGATTCAAACTTCTACTTGCTAATTATGATATACTTTGTCTTTTTCACGATCTGCAGGCAGGTGCCTCATTGGAAGCACTTGCCAAAGGCGCAGTACAATTTTCGCGGAGATATACTTTACGAGAACTCCGTGAGAGATGGCATTCTCTTCTCTACGATCCCGAGATTGCAGCTCAAGCCTCGGCCCGTATATTCGAGCTCGAGATCTCTGGCTTCTGCCCCGGCTCAAAGTTGAGCAAACCGGAGAATGAAATTTCAAAGAAGAAGAGGAAAAACGAGAGCATCCGCAGAAGATACTACGCCATGAGGAAGAAATTCCGCATCGAGTTTTTAAATCACACTGATCTCGGTTTCTTCGAATCCAATCCTCATGACCAGTCGAGACTTGATGGTAATGACCAATTAGGACTCGAGGAAGATGATTTAGATATTCTGCTCCATGCATTTCCAGGTACAATACAAGATGCGCCTGGTACAAGCAATCAAAACATGTGCATCTATGAATGTGCTGGAAAAAGTCAAATAGATGATAATCATGCAGTCATGTATGCCGTGGAAAAAGAAAATAGCTCGCCAGCTTACACAGGTGAGTTTGCTGACCCGGACTCACTTCTGAACCTGTCGAATGAAGAAGAGATACTCTTGGTGGATGTTGATGAAAAAAAAGATATAGAAAATAAATGTGCTATGGATATATCAAATAAAAGCAGCGAGGAAAATGATACTGCAAAAGTTGAACCCGAGACCTTGGAACCCTCAGAAGCTACTGTAGATACTTCGGGCTCGAAAGTTGACTTGCCATCAGAGTTGACTCGGAAGTGCGATTTGGTCGAGCTTTGTCATGGCGAGATATGCTGCACGTTAAACACAGAGGACCCTGAGATTCCGTGTAATGATGATATATTCTTGCTAATTCATCCTTCCATGTCGTCTGGCTCACCTACACCACAGCCAAACAGAACAGGTTTTGGGAATGCATGTGATCCTACTTATGAGAAGGTTAATGGGCAAGAATTGAACTCACCAATAAAAGGCAAAGATTTGGTTCACCCGTTTGCTAGTTCGGCTAAAGCTGATGTTCCTGCATTTGTCAACAAGACCATCGGGAATTCCAGTAAAGGAAAATCCCAAAGTACAATCCCAAAACCATGCAATAGTGGCATATCCAGGAAAGAAGAAGTTGGAGTTAGTACGAAGGTGATTAATTTTATTTATTTATTTATTTATTTGTAGTCATAGTTGTAAAATAAAACTTTTTGATGACGGCCTTATAACAGAAAGAAAGGGTGTTAATGAATATTGGATCTCATTACAGCCTACATTTTTTGATTAAGCAGGTTCGAGACAGCCAAGCAACAATCATACGATCCATGGAAGCAGGTTCTGCTAGTACCTCAGTTCCAGAATTATTGGTCAACGAGTCATTATCTGATCATGAAGAATCACAGATTGATGATGACGTGCCTTATTATTCTGACGTGGAAGCTATGGTACAGCTTTTGAACTTTTTAGTAATTATGATAATCTATTAGAAAACTGCTTTGAATCTCTGTCTAAATGTGAACTTTCACAGATTCTTGAAATGGACTTGGATCCAGATGATCAAGGCGTCAGGCAAGGTACTTTGTTTAGTACCTCAATTATTGTTGTTCATCTTACGAGTAGTTGCCTCAATTATTGTATAGCTTTAGAAAATAAGATGCAGGCCCATCACAATGCTATCTGTATCTGTTTTTCTTCTTCTTTTTTTTGTAATGTAAATATTTTTTCCTGAAGTACTCATTCTAAACGAGCAACAAGATAATGCTGTTCTTATGTGTTATCATGTTCTTGCATTAACCAGTGCTTAAGGTCAGGTCATGATTCCTAATGCGATTGACGATATACATTTATGGTATTTCACATATGTGATGGTTATTAACAGTGGACATTTCTTTTAAACAAAGATTTTGAATGCTTTTTGTGCTGTTTCTGGTGTTTGACCATAATTGGCCCCATTTGATTTGCGTCTTATATTTTCAGTTCCAAGTTACCAATACGATGATACTAAAAGGACAATAATAAGGTTGGAACAAGCTGCTCATTCTTGCGTACAAAGAGCCATGACATTACAAGGAGCGCTTGCTCTCTTATACGGCCGCCATTTGAGATATTACATTAAGAAACCTGAGGTACCATATTCCTACAGCCATCTACGGAGAGTCAAATTTGGAGTACTGATTCTTAATAGATTATTTCTTGATTGTGCTATTTTTGAATCAGGATTTATTTATTAAAACAACAACTTTATATATAACATAGTGTAAATGATAGCATCATGTGCAGTTCTCGCTGTTCCCCTACCCCATATATATGTGTTTGCGTGTGTGTGTGTATGTATGTAAATGACTCATTCTTTAGTTGAACATTATCAAGAATTCAAGATATTGTTCTATTTTAGGTACATTAGTTAGATAATGTATATACTACCTTAAGAGCTAGACTCCATTCGTAGATCAGTATTTTTGTCAGAAATACTCTTGTTATGCACGAATGTTACGTGCAGTGATTGTTAAGATTTTCATGGTAAATTCTTCTTATATCAGAAAGTACCAACATATGGGGACTTGCCTATGCTTTTGAAGACTCAGCTTCTACGTAAAAGAGTAATTTTATTTTTGGATATCTGAAGAATGTAATCTTTAGCATGTCTTACATGGTTCATAGATTACTGGATTAATGCCTTATTATTAACATCTTTACCTGACATTCTTCCTATTGAATTTATAAATAAAAAGGGAGCTATTGATAATCAGGTCTAATATCTGTGTGCCTGAATGTGCTATATATTACTAATACATATTTTTTCGTTGCTTTCTTAATGATTTATTTATTTATTTATTTATTTTTCTTCGTTTTGCAGGTTTTACTTGGCAGATCTACAGATGATTTTGATGTTGATGTTGATCTAAGGAAAGAAGGAAGAGCCAATAAAATATCCAGGCGGCAGGTATCATTATGGGCATTACGCTATTTTATTCTTCGAAATTTCAGAACTGGTTAATGGATGAAGATGGGTCTTAGAGACTTATTAAATGAGATCCCAACATTGAAAAAGATATTACATTTCCCAACATATTAAATGAGTCATTTCTCACGTATCGTTTTGTGCTCCACGACTAGCAACCTTAACTAATCAGNAAAACCGTTTAAAAATTGTGAAAGTTGGTTTATTGTGTAATGAAGTGTCAACAAAGAAAATAGGTAGATAAATAACAGGGGTAGAGAAATATTTTAAATTCAATATTGATGTATAGCAATCAGTTTCTAGAAAATAATGTTGGATTTTATTTTGGTTATGTAGATAAAGGGAATGAGTTTCGTTTTTGAGATCAACCAACGATTCGTGAGGACTTGAAAAAAAAAAAAAGAAAATTTGGCAAGTTTGAATGGTCGGTCAGCTGATGATGAACCGTGAGAATCTGTAAAGATGGGGAAAATGGTCTTTTCCTTGTTATTTATTTTTACTGAAATAAATCACAGTCTGCCTAAGGTATATGTTCTTCAGCCACTAAGGTAAAATAATTTTGCTTTAGTTCACTACATAAGTATAGATATAGCAGGTTTTGGTTGCAACTCGTTTTCCTTTTTCATCATTTTGTTGTATATCTTTTCTTGTATTGTTATATGTTTGGTTTTATACTTTTTGGTCTTCGCCGAAACCGAAATTTTGTTCTTCCGATGCCCGAGTTTGGTGTTAGACTGTGGTGGTAGAAAAAATGGAATTTGATGGAGGTTTAGAGTTGTAAGTTGTAACTAATAAAAGTTGAGGTAAATTTGAGATTGTAAATAAGTATTAGATTAAAAATGTAACGGCTAAAGTTTATGTGGTGCATAAATAATATAATATTTGATTGATATAATTTGTAGTTTGAAATATGTGGATGGATGAACAGTGTTATATGAAAACTTCTTCTTCTTCATTTTTTTTAATTGTGTTGGTGAGATTGCAAAGAAAGAAGTGAAACAAAATTAATATCATTTGAAAAATTCTATATGTATAATTATATTTTCTGTTAAAATGAGCTAAATTTAAACTGAAAAATATATTTGTATTGCAGGCTCGCAGCCAGGTTTGGATCATAAATTAACATGATGTAATCAATCAAACAATACTGGAATATATTTATAAGAAGTAGATAGTGCGATTGGGAATAAAATAGTTTTAGTTTTGACTAGCTTGATAACTTTTATTTTTATTTTTTGGTCAGGATACAAATTTTTATCTCAAAATTTTTTCAAATTTAATCCAACTTAGCTATATTCAATATAATCAATATAATTAAATAATATCAATCAATTATTATAACACAATTCTCAACAAAATCTACTATTCAACGAGTTCATATCTAAGCACAAACATAAATTCAATTCAAATCTTCATTCAATATTTTTTTTTTAAATTAATTACTATATACAATAACTTAAATCCAATCAACTTAAGCAACTCGTCATACCGATGAATTAACTGAAAAATAAAAAATCGCATTTAAAAAGAGTGAGACAAACAAACATTTTAAAAAAACAATTTTCCCCAGGGAAAATATAGCCAAAGAGGAAAA